GGTTCAGAGGCTTAAAAGCATTGGACAAAATCACGTTACAAAAAAATCCCAAACCAGAATCTCTGACTGTGCATAAGCATTAATTTTGTTATATTAGACAAACTCCCCATCTCCCAAATGACTGTGTAAATAATGATCAAATAAAGGGAATACTATAAAGTCATTAAAACCAATGAGGTCATTCTAACAGCATCGATATGGGAGGATTGTTAGGGAATACTGTTTAAAAAATCAAGGTTCAGAGAAAAAACCCAAATTAGTAGACTCAGGAATGCAAAAGGGGAGATAACAACAAGCATCATGGAAGTCCAGGAAGTCCATCAGAGACTACTTCGAGAACATATATTCAAATAAATTTGAAAATCTTAAAGAAATGGACAGATTTCTAGATACATATGATCATCTAAAACTGAACCAAGAGGAAATTAATCACCTGAATAGACCTATAACACAAAATGAAATTGAAGAAGCAATCAAGAGTCTCCCCAAAAAGAAGAGTCCAGGACCTGATGGATTCTCTGCTGAATTCTATCAGACCTTTGAAGAAGAACTGATACCAACCCTCCTTAAACTGTTCCACGAAATAGAAAGGGAAGGAAAACTGCCTAACACATTTTATGAAGCCAGAATTACACTTATCCCCAAACCAGGCAAAAACACCTCTAAAAAGGAGAACTATAGACCAATCTCCTTAATGAACAGTGATGCAAAAATCCTCAACAAAATAATGGCAAACCGAATTCAACAACACATCAAAAAGATCATTCACCACAACCAAGTAGGCTTCATCCCAGGGATGCAGGGGTGGTTCAACATATGAAAATCAATAAATGTAATAAACCACATTAACAGAAGCAAAGACAAAAACCACTTGATCATCTCAATCGATGCAGAAAAAGCCTTTGATAAGATCCAACACCATTTCATGATAAAAGCTCTAAGAAAACTAGGAATAGAAGGAAAGTACCTCAACATCATAAAAGCTATATATGACAAACCTACAGCCAGCATTATACTTAACGGAGAAAAACTGAAACCATTCCCTCTAAAATCAGGAACCAGACAAGGATGCCCACTATCTCCACTCCGATTCAACATAGTACTGGAATTCCTAGCCAGAGCAATTAGGCAAGAAGAAGGAATAAAAGGAATACAAATAGGTAAAGAAACTGTCAAATATCTCTATTTGCAAATGACATGATCCTATACCTTAAAGACCCAAAAAACTCTACTCAGAAGCTTCTAGACATCATCAATAGCTACAGAAAAGTAGCAGGATATAAAATCAACATAGACAAATCATTAGCATTTCTATACACTAACAATGAGCAAACTGAAAAAGAATGTATGAAAACAATTCCATTTACAATAGCCTCAAAAAAAATCAAATACCTAGGTGTAAACCTAACAAAAGATGTGAAAGACCTCTACAAGGAAAACTATACACTTCTGAAGAAAGAGATTGAGGAAGACTGTAGAAAGCGGAGAGATCTCCCATGCTCATGGATTGGTAGAATCAACATAGTAAAAATGTCGATACTCCCAAAAGTAATCTACATGTTTAATGCAACTCCCATCAAAATTCCAATGATATTCATTAAAGAGATTGAAAAATCTACTGTTAAATTTATATGGAAACACAAGAGGCCACGAATAGCCAAGGCAATACTTAGTCAAAAGAACAATGCTGGAGGTTTCCGAATACCTGACTTCAAACTATATTACAAAGCAATAATGATACAAACAGAATTAACACAGCACAAAAACAGACATGAAGACCAGTGGAACAGAATAGAGGACCCAGATATGAAGCCACACAACTATAACCAACTTGTCTTTGACAAAGGTGCTAAAAATATACGATGGAGAAATGGCAGCCTCTTCAACAAAAACTGCTGGGAAAACTGGTTAGCAGTCTGTAAAAAACTGAAACTAGATCCATGTCTATCACCCTATACCAATATTAACTCAAAATGGATCAAGGATCTTAATATCAGACCACAAACTCTAAAGTTGATACAGGAAAGAGTAGGAAATACTCTGGAGTTAGTAGGTATAGGTAAGAACTTTCTCAACGAAACCCCAGCAGCACAGCAACTAAGAGATAGCATAGATAAATGGGACCTCATAAAACTAAAAAGCTTCTGTCCATCAAAAGAAATGGTCTCTAAACTGAAGAGAACACCCACAGAGTGGGAGAAAATATTTGCCAGCTACACATCAAAGGACTGATAACCAGAATATATAGGGAACTTAAACAACTAAATTCTCCCCAAACTAATGAACCAATAAAGAAATGGGCAAGTGAACTAAACAGAACTTTCTCAAAAGAAGAAATTCAAATGGCAAAAAAACACATGAAAAAATGCTCACCATCTCTAGCAATAAAGGAAATGCAAATTAAAACCACGCTAAGATTCCACCTCACCCCTGTTAGAATAGCTATCATCAGCAAAACCACCAACAACAGGTGTTGGTGAGGATGCAGGGAAAAAGGAACTCTCTTACACTGTTGGTGGGAATGTAGACTAGTACAACCACTCTGGAAAAACATTTGGAGGCTACTTAAAAAGCTAGACATTGATCTACCATTTGATCCAGCAATAACACTCTTGGGGATATACCCAAAAGACTGTGACACAGGTTACTCCAGAGGCACCTGCACACCCATGTTTATTGCGGCACTATTCACAATAGCCAAGTTATGGAAACAGCCATGACGCCCCACCACTGACGAATGGATTAAGAAAATGTGGTATCTATACACAATGGAATTTTATGCAGCCATGAAGAAGAACGAAATGTTATCATTCGCTGGTAAATGGATGGAATTGGAGAACATCATTCTGAGTGAGGTTAGCCTGGCCCAAAAGACCAAAAATCATATGTTCTACTTCATATGTGGACATTAGATCAAGGGCAAATACAACAAGGGGATTGGACTTTGAGCACATGATAAAAGCGAGAGCACACAAGGGAGGGGTGAGGATAGGTAAGGCACCTAAGAAATTAGCTAGCATTTGTTGCCCTTAACGCAAAGAAACTAAAGCAGATACCTTAAAAGCAACTGAGGCCAATAGGAAAAGGGGACCAGGAACTAGAGAAAAGGTTAGTTCAAAAAGAATTAACCTAGAAGGTAACACACACGCACAGGAAATTAATATGAGTCAACTCCCTGTATAGCTATCCTTATCTTAACCAGCAAAAACACTTGTTCCTTCCTATTATTGCTTATACTCTCTCTTCAACAAAATTAGAGATAAGGGCAAAATAGTTTCTGCTGAGTATTGAGGGGGTGGGGGGTAGAGGGAGGGGGTGGAGTGGGTGGTAAGGGAGGGGATGGGGGCAGGGGGGAGAAATGACCCAAGCTTTGTATGCACATATGAATAATAAAACAATAAAAAAATAAAATAAAATAAATAAAAAATCAAGGTTCAGGATAAAGTGATCCTATTTTAAGACGTGAAAGAGGAGGATGCTACAACATGTGGACATAAAGTATAGAGTTCCTTTGGAAATATATGAAAGAAAGTAGTCATAAACTGTCCTCTAGAAGAGAATTGGGTGGCTGGGGTGACAGGGTGAGGGGGAGCCCTAGAATCATATACCCACCACTGCCTGAATGCCCTCCTTAAATGCTCTCAGTCCAGGTTCTAAACTACCCACTCTCCTGTATCCTCTTCTTCCCCACTGGGAATAACTCCTGTCCTTTCAGGTCCTGGACCAAACTACAGCTTCCTCATCTCTTCCTTCCACTTCTCCCTCCGCCCACAGCCCAGTAGTCCCTAGTAGCTCCAACCTCCTGACATTCTCTGTCCCTTCCCTTCATCTTTCCCCTCTGGTCCTAGTCCCTAAACTGGAGAAAATGGGCTTCTTTTTCAGCCTTCACCCAACTCTCCCTTTCCAGTCCATCCACTGCCCCAGAAAGATCTGACATTCAGATCTGACCCTGTCCCTCCTCTTGCTCAAAACCCTCCATAGCTAGCTAACTGTCACCTTAGCCTTCCACACATGGAGAACGGCCCCGCCCACTCACCCCAGCCTCTGCTGTGCTCTTTGGCTTCTGGCCCCTAAGGCTGTGAGACCTGTTTTGTTGTGCTCCAGAATCACCTTGGTTTCCGATTTTTTGGACCTTTGCCTAAGCTGGGCGCTCGGCTTGCAACGCCCTTATTGCTCCTCCACCCCCTCCACAATTCAGGTCTAAGTTTTGTATCTTGGAGGTCTGCACCACAACCACGCCTTCTCTGGAGGTCCTCTCATGGCTCTGGCTGCGCTCACAGACTCTGGTATCGCCCCTGTCACACCCCATAACTCAGGATTGGGACCGTCTGTGGCTCGGTCTGTCTCCTCCATCAGACCATCTGCAAGAGCAGATATGGGTCTGATTCACCTTTGAGTCCCCAGTGGAAGGGAGGGGTGACCAAATAGCAGGGAAGGGAGGGAGGCTGGTTGAGTAGAAATGGGGAGTGGGAAAGCAGACCCTGCCTGGGGAGGCTATAGGGAGAGGAGGGGGGGGAGGGGGAGAGAGAGAGAGAGAGAGAGAGAGAGAGAGAGAGAGAGAGAGAGAGAGAGAGAGAGAGAGAATCGAGACCCAGAGACAAGCAGAGAAGAGAAGAGGGAGGGAGAAAACCAGAAAGAAAAAGGAACCGAAGACCTAAGGGCCAGCGAAAAGGATGATGTGGAGACAGGGAAAGACAGAAAGAAGGAAGGACAGATATTCGGAGACAAGAGCAAGGACAGAAAGAATGACTAAGGCAAACAGAAAGAGGGAGGGAAGAGGGAGGGGAGGGAGAGAGAGAGAGAGAGAGAGAGAGAGAGAG